GGCATGCAGTCACTCGCTGCATAGGTCACTAGGCAGCAGGTGTAGAACCAAGGAAGGGTTTCTGTACCAACATACAGTCAACGTGTGGAACTCCTTGCCAGAGGATATTGGGGGGGCTAACCAACTGCCACCCTGGTTTCCGGTTTCCTCAGTCTCCTGAGGCAACTCTTCCAGTCTCCTGGGGCTATCTGGGCTTTAGCCTCGCGGAGGCACTGCTGCCAGCCCTTCTGAGGCTAGGAAGGCTGGGGTCAACATCTGCTTCTGTACCAACATACAGTCAACGTGTGGAACTCCTTGCCAGAGGATATTGGGGGGGCTAACCAACTGCCACCCTGGTTTCCGGTTTCCTCAGTCTCCTGAGGCAACTCTTCCAGTCTCCTGGGGCTATCTGGGCTTTAGCCTCGCGGAGGCACTGCTGCCAGCCCTTCTGAGGCTAGGAAGGCTGGGGTCAACATCTGCCCATGCTCTATGCCGGGAAGGGGTGCCTACCTGTGATGGATGGGAGGAGTGCTGCTCTTTTCTCAACATCCCAGCATTCTGTAACTAAAGTGTTCAACCCATGTAGCTAGGAAGTGTGTAGCTAGGAAGTGTTGCCAAGAAGCCAGGAGAACCAATGGAAATACAGTGTTGAGATTTGACCTGAAAGGGAATCTGCCTGCTGCTTGGAACGGTCAAATCAGAAGCTGGGGAACAAGATGAGTTGAACAAGGCAGGGATGCCTAGAAAAGAATACCAGGCCTAGAATTAGACTGGGCTTTCGAAATATGAATAGGTAAGTATATAAGGAATATTTTAGTTAGATGTGATCAGGTTATTTTCTTTGTTTTGTTGTTTGGTTAAATTCCTCTGTGCTAAATTCATACTCCACTGCATACACTATAACTAAAACTGAACCTCAGGGAATAATTCCCTGTGCTTTAATCTGTTTTCTCAGTTACTTTATAACACCTAGCAATCAAGTATGCTTACCAACTATATATATATATATTTTTTTTTAAATAAAATAACCTTTTTTAAGACTCTGATCTGATTCTTGTGTCCTGGAAGACAATAAGAGGTCAGTAAATGCATGCATAAGACTGAGAAATCAGCTATCAGAGATTGCAGCGTGTTTTCTTTTTTTTTTTCTTTTCTCTTTTTTTTAAACTCTCGTATGGTAAAAGAGTTTGGGGTACCCCTCTGGAAGAAGTTCCCAAGTCATTTCTTCTTGGGTTCAAGAAGAAAGGGTGGGATTTTTTTTCACTTGGGTGGTAGTAGCTTACCTCCCAAGGTCAGGGAACCTGTGATCTTGGAGAGTTTTTAAACAGAAGCCTTTAGAGGCAAGATTTTTTAAAGGCCTCTTGTGGCCTCTTCCCATCTTCTGCACTCGAAGTGCCAGAGTGGGTAACAGTTTTGACACTGCTGCACACTCTCCAGGGGTGGGGACTCCCTTCCTTATGTTCCACAGAAGACTGGAGTCCCCTGTTCTCCCTCTCCCCCAAGTTCTGTCTGGGACCAGAGAAGACTGGGGCCACCTGCTGTTGCCCTCCATCTGTCCCATGCTCCAGCCAATACTGGAGGAGACTGGGGCCATGCATCTCCTGCCTTCCCCCTCTTCATGCAGCTGGGGAAGGGTGGGGCTGCACGCCACACACTGGGGGAGGAATGGCCTGCCCCAACAGTGTGGGGAGCACTTAGCTCACACAGGGCTCTGGTCGGCAGGGTTGGGGCCTCAGGTAGAGCGGGCAAAGCTGGGGGCTTGTCTCCCCCAACCCTAGTTTTCATCCACCATCCATAGGGCTAAAAGTATAATTGGGTTAAAAAAAAACCAACCTAGGTAAGTTCTGGGCAGAAAGGACCATCAATTGCTATTAGCCAAGAAGGTCAGAAACACAACCCAATGATTTGGCCTGCTTAACACATTGGGATTGAACAACAGGGGATGGCTCACTTGATATTTGTCCTTTTCACGCCCTCTGAAGCACCTGGCATTGGCCACTGTCAATAGACAGGATACTGGGCTAACTTAACCATTGGTCTGACCCAGTGTGGCTGTTCTTATGACAATTTGCCTGACTGCCACTGTAGTTAGGATTATCAGCCTGTAATTGCAAGATCACCTTTGGAGCCTTCTGTATGGACACTCAATCTGTGAGAATTGCTCAGATTGTCATGGCCCAGGTGTCAAAAATTTCCTCCTATCCTCTTCAGTGAAATAGCTATAAAGAATTAATTTAGCTTGCATGCAATATCTTCTCTGAGTGCTCCTTTAGTATCCCAATGGTCCAGAGACCCCACTGACTGGCAAACAATCCTTCTTTTGTACTTAAAAAACATTTTGCTGCTAGTTTTTGTGTGTTTTCCTAGCTGCTCTTCAAATTCTTTTTTAGCTTTACTAATTTTATACTTGATTTACTAGAGATTATGCTCCTTTCAGTTTTACTCATAAGGTCTGACTGCAACATTTTTAAAGGAAACCTTTTTGTCTCTAACTACCTCTTTCACTTTGTTTAGCCATGGTGGCTTTTTTTGTTCTTTTGCTTTTTTTTCATTTGGGGTATACATATAGTTGGAGCCTCTGTTATGGTGTTTTAGTGCCAGTGCCTGGTGTGCCCCACCTTAGTGCCACCCACAGACCCATGTGTACTCCGACATGCCAGCACCACCCAGAGCATCTGGCATGCCCTGCTATGCTAGAGACAGCACTGCCTGACACTCCCCAACCAAGAAGCATCACACAGACCAGCATGCCCCCTCTGAAGAGGTGGCCAGTATACTCCACGGAGGTAGCACTAGTTGATGCATGTTGTGCCCCATGGACTAAACCAGGGGTGGGCAATCATTTTTGGCTGGGGGCTACCCTGGAAGGATTGGGACCTAAACCAGAAGGGGTGGGGCCAGGATGTTTCTGGGCTTCTCCACCCACAGACCATGATTGGTCTGGGGATGGGGGAGCCCCTTTACCCCCCTTTCCAGTAGACAATCATGCCCCTGGCAGGGCAGGAAAAGGCTTTGCACACTCCCACACCTCCAGGCCAATAAGGGCCTGGGAGCAGGGGAGCGCATGAAATCTCCTCCCACCCTGCGAAGAGTGCCTGGCCCTTTGAAATGCTGCACTCTTCGCAGGGCCAGGCGAAGGAAGCTTTGCGCAGCTCCCCTGCCCCCAGGCCCTCATTGGCGTGGGGGTGAGGGAAGCGTGTAAAGCCTCCTCCTACCCTACCCCTGCCCTGTGAGGAGCATGCAGCACTTTAAAGAGCCATGTGCTCCTTGAAGGGTGGGAGGCGGGAGGACTGAGGAATCTTTATGCGCTCCTCCCACCACCAGGCCAATCAGGGCTTGGGAGCGTGTGACATCTCCTCCTGCCCTGCATGGGAACCAAGGGCCCTCACCCCCACGACCACAGAGAGGTGGGGTGGCATGTGGCCTGAGCCTCCCTGGCCCTGGAGAGGTGGGGCATCATGTGGCCCAAGCCTGCCCAGCCCCGGAGCACAGGGAGAGTGGACATTCAGGGGCAGCAACGTTCCGTCCCGTTCCCCCCCCATACGTCTAAAGTATTCCAGGGGTGGAGTCTGGGATGGGCCAAGCTAGCGGTTTGGGAAGGCAGTGCCTTCCCCTGCCTAGCATCCCCACTGCCCTGGCTCTTTTGGAATTAATGTTAACCAGCGCCAAAGGCCTATCTGCCTGTTGGCTGAGCTGAGTTAATGGCAGCCAGCACCAATGGCTTTCAAAAATAGGTTTGCTGGCCAGAGCTGTGAAAACTAGGACTGCTCCATGTGTTTTGTGGAGTTTATCTTGACAACCTTAAGTCCAGCATATTTCATTAAGGTGGA